TAGGACCTGTAGGTCTGTCTTTGAAAGAAAAAATAGACTGCAGGTACCTAAAAGTGGAAATCCACTACAATCACAGCTGAATGCAGCACCACCTGCAAACCATGCATTATTAACATTTGGATGCACAGTAAAAAAAATCAGGAGCAGTACCAAACTATTAATCTGTTAAAAATAAAAATAGATGTTTTTCGTCTAGGGTAATTTCTGTTTTTAGAGGATAAAAATTTCTAAAACACACTTTTATATGTAACTATCTCTATATATTGTGTATATACACACTACAAAGGAAAGGTAAGCACAGAAAGAAAAAGAAATCACTCTGTAGACAGTTTACTCCACCATCAGTCATTGTAATTATCTTTGTATCAAGTTTTCATGCTATTTGCAATTAGTTCAATTTATATAAAACTGTAGAATTGGTTTACACATTGTCTAAGTTTTAAGACTACCTTTAAATAAGAATACTTATTTCAGCATTGGTTAGAAACATATCAAATCCACACAATTTAAAGCTATTCTGCTACCTCACAGTATTTCGAAGCTCTTTCAGCTTGAATAAGCAGTTTAATTTATTTAATACTGTGATTTGTAACTCATATGTGAAAATATTATAGCAGCATTAAAGGAGGCTGTATCTAAAAGTCTACTAGTAGAACTTGAAAAATGGCCACACATCTCTGACAAATTTGCTCCTTCAGAATTAAAAAACCACGGTCATGGATAACGCTCCCCAGCATCCTGGCAAAGAGAGAATATCTGCAAATATTCTTTCATCAAGATGAATGCTCCCCTGTGGCTGTAAGAGAGCAACAAACAATTAATTTCAACCTAAGTATTTTCAAAAGAGATTAGTCCTGTCCACAAGAAGCTCTGGTATCCCAGTGAGGCTGTAGATCTTACTTCCTTCAGTCCTAGTCCTGGCTCTACTGGATGACAGCTTGACCTGGTGGGTAGGATGCTTACTCCAGCCTAAGAAACAGCTGTGTCCTTTTCTCCTATGCTAACATTGACTCTTACTTTAGCTTAGTCACTTCCTACCTCTTTTGGAAGTGTGGACCCCAATGTACGTACTACCTCTTAGCTTGAACTTCCACAGGGCAACATTTTATGGATGTTCTGACTGTTTGAGATAACTTGATACATACCCTTTTTAATTGCTGTACAGAGACAGGGAAGGCAGCACAGCAACTACACATCTCTGGTGGCAACACATTTCTTTGCAGCAAAAATTAAAAAAAAAAAAAAAATTGGTAAGCTTATAGGCAATCACTTCTGAGGCTGAATTTCTTACTTCTATTGTCAAATTTAATGGAAGTTGGATTCCTGAAACCCTTAATGTAAGATCTCTGCACTTTTCCCTTTCATGTTTCAAGTCCAGCTGAAAGGTACAAATTCCTGTATGTGGCCAACACAAACACTCAAAAAAGAGGAAGAGTTCATTTCCCTGTTTTGGCATGCTTCTTACATCATCCACTTTGCTCCACCTGGCAAGCAAACGCCTGTAGATGAAGTGAGGCATCTCCAGCACTCAAGTAGCTCTCTGCTATTCCAGATCAATGCCAGCAGCATTGGTCACAGTACATTTGGCTAACTTAGTACTACCTGGCCACTATTCCACCCACCATCACATGGTTCTGAAATCAGAGACACAGAAATAATAGATTGCCTCACAAATGATTTATCTTTTTTAATTCCCCTCCATTTTCTTTTTCCCTTCACCTGAAAAAGATCATCAAATCAGTGGTTAGTTAACCAGCCAAAAACTGGTAAAAAGCCAGATGCTCCTTTTTGTGGTCAAAGCATTTATACTACTGCGGGTTACCACAAATTCCCACCCACTCAGCATCTCCTTAGGCACACCTGAATTAATAAAAGGAAAACAAGAAAGAGCACACAAAGGCACAACCCTTCACAGCCCACCCACATTTTCTTCTTTCCTCTTTCCTTTCCACCCCCAAACAGCAACACTTTTCCATGGAGCATCGTGACAGGAAAATTTTGCACCAAGGAACTTCCTGCTGGACACCCGCCCAGGCTGCTTTCAGCACAGTCAGCAAAAGGAGATGAGGGTATCTTCTCACTTCACTGCTCCCCCTCCTCCCTCACTTCTCATGTTAACTTGTGTGTGTACTTCACACACATCCTCTAGGATCACCTTTCCACTCCCCACACCCCATTCATCTGGCTTCACAACACAAGGTACAGCCTCAGCTCTTGACAATGCTTGCATAGTTCCTTGTATCAGGCAGCACTACTCCTCAATTTTAGTTTATCCCAGAGGCTACTAGGAATAAATATTCAGCATTTGCTCTTCTCTCTCTCCAAGAAGTTACGCAGAGTATTATAGCTGGGTGAAGTCGAAGTCTTTACAGAAGCTTGGATTAACTGCGTAACCAGATCAAGACAATAAAACTCAGTGCTACTGGGCAAATGTGCAGGAATGAAAAAAATCCATAACGTTGCCCTTCCGATCCATAGGAATCTGCTGGGAAACAGAAAAAGGTTAAATATCCAGCAGGCCTCATTACAGGGTCTAAACAGAGGGGCAGTGCAGCAATGAATTTCTCTCTCCCCTCATGGCAGCCTGTGTTTCAGTGACTGGCATTGCAGAGGGAGACGCTCTGCCTAGGCCCACTGGTACTGCTGACACTTCAGCAACCCCTTAACTTCCAGAGCCACTGATAGGAAGGCTGTGTCTAAGTGTAACTGAAGACACCATCTGGCCTGCACGACTTTACAACTAGCAATAACAGAAGATTACTACCTAGCAACCTCACAAATCAGGTTAAGATAATTTTGTTATCGAGTGCCACAAGAAAAATAATGGAATCTGTCATATAAAATATGCCTCTGAAATGTATATAATGAAATCTTCTGCATAAGAATGCATAGGGACTTCTTATCAAAGATGAAAACTGCTTAAAGTGTGCATCCTTCCCTCACCCACCGAAAATCCAGAAACAATAAAGCCCTTCTAAAAAACAGAAAGGAAACCTTTACAACTGAAGTTTCAAGAACAATCAGCAATTCCAAAAATCAGCATCACCAGAGCTACTTCCCACCACTCAAGCCACACATATTTAACATTTTTCTACTTCATTCTCCCTTGTTACATAGCAAACTTCAGTGCTGTTATAGTAATTACATTTTATTAATGCATTTTATAGAATAGAGTGTTATACAAAATGAGGAACATGGCACAGTAAATAAGTTCTGCATTTGATTTGGCCATCTTAGTGTATTTAAACCATTTTCTCATTACCTCTTTAATATTTTGCCAAAGAAAAATCTCTTAACAAAGCAGTGCATATAACATGTCTCATTTTAACTACCAGGGCATGTATTGGTTTCTGAAGCCATTAAATTGCTCCACGGTAATAACATCAGGTGACTGAAACCAGTCCATGGTACCCGCACTACTTCTGAGCTCATGCAGCAATACAGTTACTTACTGGTTCTACTCATCAATCATAAGTCCTCTTGAACTTCAGACCATACCAATTTAACCCACAAAGTAACTATGCAGATAGCTCCTTTGCAGGTTATTTTACTGCAGTTGTATTAATTTTCTTCATACAGGAAACTAACACAAACAAAGCTTTTTGTTTATGACAGATAACCTGTCCTACCTGCGAGCGTGTAGATTAGCTTACTGGCTTCATGAAACAATTTGTTTGCTTATGAAGAACAGAGAAGATACTCCAGTAGTATTGATAACAGTGGGTTTGGAATTTTACCAGTTTACCAAACGTTCACTGTCAGTGGTTTCATTCTATAGATCAGGACACTTTCTCCTTGCAAAAAAAGAAAAGAGCTTGTTTTTCCTAACAGCTCCCAGTCAAGACTGGGGGACACAACTATTCCTGAGCACACAAAGACAAGTTTGGCACACTTACCTCTTACCCGTACAGCCTGAAGTCAGTGCACAGACCCATGAAAGTCACCTGGAAAGTTAAACAGAATCAGGGCTTGTGAGGCAGCAACTTGATGACTCCAGGGATTCTAGAAGGGCTCAAGATGAACTTTTTCCTCCCCTCTTAAGATGGGGAAGATAAAATTGATCTTGTTTCAACAATCTTTCTTTCTTTTTTTTTTTTTTTCCTTTTTTCTTTCTTTTTTCTTTCTTCCCCCCCCCCCCGCCCCCACTCTCATGCAATGAAATTATGAATTCTTATTTATTGACTGCAGTGAACCAAAGTGTTACCAGCGTGCCAAAGAGACTTGCAGCCTGTCTGTCCCAATCACTCAATTCACTCCTTGAAAACGCACAGTCGACATAACAGACTTTTTCTTTTTCTTTTTTTAATGTAACAGATATGCCCTGAATTCCCTATTTTTTGTTGTGTGACCACTGCGGGGAGGAAAAGGAGTCAGCAGAAAAGTTGCTTCTCCTGCAGAGCACTCCGTTGAAGAGTAATAGGTTTCCGCTAAACTTCAGGGTACGCTCCAGAGCTTCGGGCTCCTACAGCGATCCGCAACCCTCCCTCTCCCCGTAAAGAGACAGCCCACGGCGGCTGGTCCCGCGAGCGAGAGCCCCTCACTACGGAAAGACGGCGCACCACGAAAAAACCAGTAGCGGATGAAACAAGCCGTCTGCCCCGGGCCACCGCAATCCCCCCAGGTAAAAACATACCGAGCTCCGACCGCCGCACTCCTCCCGCACCCGTCGGTGAAACGCCCAACACCCCGGGGCTGGGCGGCAGCGAAAGCAACGCGAGAGAAGAGCCACCGCTCGCTGGGGCTGGGAGTGAAACCCCCAACAAGTCCACCCGCGCCGCCGCCCGGGGCGGAGGCCGCCGCCCGCCCCGCCCCGCCCCGCCACTCCCCGGCCGGCCCGCCCCCGCGGCAACCCCTTACCTGCCCGCCTCAGCGGTGCCGCGGGATGGGAGTTCTTGGAGGTGTGTCTGCAGCGAGGCGTGAAGTTTCACCTCCAAACTTTGGGGCTGGGTGGACTCCGGTCCTCGCCTAAAGGGGAAACTCAAAAGCGCTTTGCGGTTGATCCGTGCGGGGGCAGGTAAATTTAGCGTTTGCTCGTCCGCCTGCCCTGCTGCCAGTGTCTGCAAAGCCCGTGTCATTACGCGGAGAGCTTCTCGTCTTTCCAGCCTCAGAACGCCTATGAGATTAAGCGTTTTGCTAACAGGTTTTGTTTGCTGTTACACATCCAGAGGTAGACTCTCCCAGTGCCAGCAAATACACTGCCAGGCAGAGGCAAGTCATAGCTGGAATTAGCTACCGAAGCAGGAAGGATTCCGACGTACAAACTTTACTGTCACCTATGGGAAACAGGGTGACAGAGAAAAATAATTGAGTTTACTAACACTTTGTGCTTTGCAAACATTATCAGCTTATTGTTGCAATAGTCCAGACGTGTAGATCAATAATGTTGTGTATTTAACAGATGCACTGCTTTGCTTACATTTCTTTAAGGACATTCTCTAGTTCCTGCTAGCAATTGGGTAAGCACAGAGGAGCTTTGGCTTTCCAGAGCTGTTCTCAAACCACTTTTATCCATCTCTCTCCCTTTTAGGCTTTTTGCTGCAGTGCTATCTAGAATTACTCCAGTGTTTGCCTCTGGAATGCTCCTTGAGTTACTGCCCCACCATTTTCTTACTGCATAAGCCCTTTCTTGGTTTAACAGTCACATAATTTCACATTTTTACACAGCACCTTTTATCCTAACAGATAGCAAACCATCTCGTAATGACTTTTCTAACCAGCCAAGCACACCCTTTGGTGTGAAAGCTGAACTTTGCCAACCAGCTCAAGACAGTGGTTCAGAAGGGGCAGTAAAGAAAGAGCTGCATGCTGCTCTTGTATCCAGGAGGCACTAAACTAAGCAGAGTGTAATTACCCCAAACCAGAGCTCAGACACTGGGGATAACACATGTTCATAGAAAAGTGCTCCAGAATCTGAAGCAGCCAAAGGCAGCCAAGACCTGTGCGGTGAGTTGTTCCTTATGGGTTTCCAATCCAGACAGTAAACCAGCCTGCTTCTGCTTAGTCTGGATGGTGTGATTACATAAAGCCTCACTTGAGATACTGTACATTTTTATTTAACTTAAGGATCTGCCCAGTTTGGGTTCATTATAGAGGTTAGCAGCTGAGAGCAAACCCAGAGAGCAACGATATTTCTTTCTTATTCTTTAAAGGTGGCCATGGATCCAGTATTAAAGTTGTGTTGAGTAAAGACAGTCACTTACACTGCCACACCTGCAGCCTGCCTCTCTCCCTGGTACAGATAAACAGAGAAGAAGGAATGGAAATTAATTTAATGGCATAAAATGCTCATTTCTTGCTAATTCCCATAAGTAGAGCACATTTCCCCTTTTAGACAGCCTGGCAGGAATGCAACACAACGGCAAGCACATGCCCTGACAAAAAATACAACCTCGGATTAAAATTCTACACCTGTTAGTCTCTTGTGGCCAGCAAGATTTTAGAGAAAAACAACATGCCTCCTGAATTTTAGTTTCCTGAGGTAATATGCTCCGAAGGTTGCAATAAAGGTCACTGAAGCTTCTCATAAGGATATACAGATTAGTCTTCTGAGTGTTGTAGATTTAATTTCACTCAATAAATACACACTGAAAGCATATTTCTTCAAGTTGATCAGATTGGCTGTACCCATCAACCGATTAAAGTTATATATAACACTGAAAGTATCGGATGTCTTGGTGGTGTTTTTGGGTTTTTTTTTCAGTTAAAGGAATAAATTAAATGCCTTGGGATAAATCCAAATCTCATTTTACAACTCAGTAAAAAAAAAAAAAAAAAAAAAAAGTATGTTTAGTTTATATATGACTTTTTCCACTACAGGTTCTTCCAGTACAGAGGGCATATTCCAACTGTGGATTGAAGCATCTTTACAAGATTAAAAATTCAACATGCAGGTGAAATTAGACACTGGATTAGGAAACTCATTAACTACATAAATGTAATCGGCACCTTCTGAAGCCTGACGCATAGCAAAAAAGAAAGGAATCACAAAAGGGTGGCGGCTGTCTGTCTGAGTCAGTTGAGCTGGTACGGAGCCAGCACCTGCATCAGAAAACCTACTCTTGTCAGGCTTCTGCATGCTTCTTCTAGGCACGTTTCCTGCACTCAGGAGCTCAGTGGTTAAAGTAGCAAAGTCATCTTCTGATAGCAGTGAGATGGTGGCGGGGTGGTGGTGCTTACTCACAGTAACGTGAGTAGTCAGCGCAGTTACAGAAAAGAAATAACAGGTCCTGAACTGAAAATGAAACCTGCTGAAAATTACAAGTCCTGTTGCTGAAATAAAAGCATCTTTACAGTAAGACCAATTTAGGCTCTTTAAGCACATTTTCCATGTTTTCAGCTCAGCAGTGACAGCCGTGGAGGAAAGCTTGGTGTGGGGTCAGCTTACAGTTACACATCCTTCCCACACTTCAGGAGCTGCCCCAAATCCCTTGTGGGTATTTGGGACATATCCCACTGCCATGTGGAACAGAAACTAGGTGTTCCACTGCTGTGAGCTGCCGAGCAAACCTTCACTCTAACTCAGCCTTCCATGCAGCCCAGTTTTCCAGTTGGCATTTTTTGAAGTTTTCAGCAAAGCCAACTCAGCCTCCCAGATATACAAATTTCAAAGAGTCAGAAGTCACTGATTCTTATTTTTAAGAAGACTTTAATATAAAATCCATTACTTAGGCAGCAGATGTGAAAAAATTTGTGCCTGTTTGGCCTGATCTTTTTCCTAAGAGGAAGGATTAGACCTTTGGAAATTTCTAGATTAGGCAAATTCGTTCCAAGTACCACTATCACTTACCACAGTGAATTTCAGGGTATGCCACGTCAGCACTGTCTGTTTCAGTGGTGTGGGCTGTATATCAACACTGAGCTGATTAGAGAAACGTTTGAAGATTAAAAGCATTTTATCATAATGAAGGTGTCTTTTGCTCTGGGGCACAAGCCGTCCTGCAAGTAGTTCTATTTTAATTCTTTGAGCTGTTTTAATTTTCAACTAATTAGCTAGAAATATACCACCTACAACATTCTTTATTTCTTGGTTATGAGACTAAAATTTGCCTCTGCAAAGTATTACAATGGGACATCTACTTGTTTCTTTAGAAAAAACCAAAAACCTGATAGCAGCTTGGTATAAAATTCATTTGCTCATAACTGCTATACTGGGGCAATTAATAAAACCTTTCAAAGCAAGTTGTGTGCTCATTCAAAATACTAGGCAATTCAAATTGCCTGTTCTTCAGCTATTAAAAAAGTTTGATTTTTTTGAAGTCTCTGGAAACCAAAAATGTCTCTACTTAAACACTAAAGTGAGTTACCAGAGAAACTCTTTAAGTATGATGGGCTCCTGCCTCAAAGGCCAAAAGAAAACAGTAGTCGCAATCTTTTTATTGAAGGTTAGTCCATTACCTTACCCTAATTCTAAAATGTTCTTCAAATGGCAGCTACTACCCTGCCAAGTGCTGCACAGCTGGAAAATGCTTCGGGATGTCCTGAAAATTGATTTTTTTTTTTTAATTTTTTAATTTTTTTTAATAAAAAGGAAATGTGTTCTGTATTTAAAAAGCTACTGAAGGCTTCCAGTTACAGGCATGTCTAGGAAAGTTAAGAGTAGCTCCCATTTTTTTACTCCCCTTGTGCTAGCACTGGTGAGCAGGGTGTGCATATGTTTTCGTGTTATATGATACATTTACAATTCAGATCAAAGTATATCCAGTTTTGCAGGCTCTATCCTTGCAAGTTTTCAAGTCAAGACTAGATAAAGCCCTGAGCAGCCTGGCCTGACCTCATAGCTGACCCAGTCTTGTGCTGGAGGTTGAATTACAGACTTCCTGTGGTCCAATCCTACTTAAGCTATTTTATGCGGTATTGTTGGATATCCCATCTGAAAATCAGGAGGTCAGGTTTCAGTAAAAATTATTTCTCCCTACTACTGAACTACAGACTACAAATGAAGGAATAAAGTCCTTAATCAAGCATCAGAAGGTTTTCTGTTCAAATGAGGTTTGTAAAAGGAGGAAGTTCCTCTGAAAAGCATCGCTTTTGTGAGGGGATTCCAAGAGACAGCAGCTTTTCCAGGCCTTTTGGACAGTGACTGAACACTGTGGTGTTTCAGTTATTGGTATTTTGGTGTTCACGCATAATTAATAGGGAATTTTTAAACTGTTTGATTTAAGTGCCTTTGTAAAGATCTTAAAATATATATTCTTCATGCTTTTCTTTAAATTTTGGCTGATGGAACAGTAAAAGTTAGTGACCATCTTCACTGTGGAATCTATATTTCTTAGCTACAAGTGGCTGTTCTTAGATATTATGCAGATTTAAAAAAAACCCTCTTAGGAATATTTCATTATCTTCTCCATAATTACCTAACATCGGAGAAGTAAAATCTAAATATTAAGCTCTGGTCACTTGACATGGCCTAAATGTGAGACAGACGAAATTCTGTATCTCCCAACAGCACTTTTGGTAGTAGAAAGTTCTGCATTGATTCAACATCTGTTGACAAGCTGTCTACATAAATCGACAGAGAAGCAAACTGATACATGCAGCTAAGTATGTCTCCAAAGTGACTCACAGTCTGTTGAAACAGGACACCACGACATCAGACATGTAATTCCCATGTTATTGTTCCTTTTTCATCCTAAGCCTCCTAGAATACCTGGGATAATAATAAGTACAGTGACATGACAGTCTGGCAGCTGAAGCATTGATAAAGGAAGATTGAATGAAATAAAACACTATATA